TCATTTTAGTACGATTTAAATCATCGGTTAATAGTTAACCATAAATTTATTTTTAAACGCATTTCATACAAATGCACGACTCTAAAACTATTCTAATTAGCAAAATACAGTTAAAACAGAATTTAAACTGTTACTACGGACGTTTGAAATTACACCGCTCTTGGGGGAAACGTAACAATTACCCGGCAATGATAACATGTTTTATGTGGCCAGTGCAGTAAGAAAGATTAGATATTGAAACACGTATATTTTAATTAAATATCAAATAGATGAAATATAGTGAAAAACTCATCAATACGAGAAATCAAAGCTGCAACCTTAGCAATATCGAATTTGCGTTATTTTAACCACTAAGCTATCGTTGATGTAAAGTTGGTGAAAAAACTGAGATTTTATACTCCAAAGGTTTTAGATTCGATTCCCGCTTGGATCAATGATTTTTTTCTATTATTCCTACATACATTATTGTTAAATTTTTTTCATGTACAATGAACAAATATAAAAAAATACTTTGTTATTACGCTCGCTATAACTTCATTGAGAACACTTGTGTTCATATGTCCACATTAAAAACTGCAAAAATGTATACTATTCAAGTAATATTTCAACGTTTCTATAATAAATAATCCATAATTTATATATTAATAAAGAAAAGTATATAAGCTGAGTTTTTATATTAATTTATTTATGGAGTACGTTATATTGCTCGTATTACATAAAGCAACCTAACTCACAACAAGCCCAAAGGATTAATCTTAATATCTTGACTTATATTTAAAATTCACGTACATTTCGTGTATGGTGTAAGTGATGGGCGGAATATGTTTTGGTTCTTATGCTGTTAAATATATGTATGAATAATTTGATAGAAATACGCTTTATATATACTTTACGCTTGGTTTAATTGGAATATAAAACAATTTTTATTATTGTAATATTAAATCTCTTCTTCTTCTACCTGGCAACTTCCCAGCTATAGACAGGGTCTGCCTTATATATTGTGAATAGTTATGTCTAATTGTTTTTACGACCGGCCGCCTGCCTGACATCAACCCTCTTTGGGAATGCATTAATTTATAATATATCTCTGTATACAAATGAATACTGATTTAAATCCAGTAAAAAAAATCCTTTTAGTAATGTACTATTTAAATGTTTAAATGATGTTCCTAATTAAAACTTAAATGTAATAAAATGAAGCATTCTAAATGTAAATGAAGTTTCCCCGCTCCCAGTAACACCACACGTTATACGTGACCACAGTGATCACGTTCTTATTATCAGCGGGTTACTTAATCCAGTAACAACTTGGACAAATGTAATTTATGACAAATAAAAAATGAATGTAATTAGTTCAAAACGATTTATAACACGGATTATTTTAACTACTTAGATATAAATTAGTTAATTTAGTTGATTTGTTGTATATTAGTTTAAAATTACTCAAGAGTATATTTAGTTGGGTAAAATTTAAATAATTCAGCAAATTTAAAGATTGACAAAAACAAAGCACATACTCGTACATGAAGAAATAATTAAGTAGTTTTTTGTACATTTCTATGCTTATGTTAAATACATTAATGTTATATTAATGAAAACCATAAACTTAATACTTAGGAAACCTATTTTATTGTACCCAGTATGAACAATTTAAATATTTTTTATTTGCGAATAAATACAATAAAATGTATTTACAACAAAGAGCGAGACGATGTTTCCGTGCTGGACATTTTTATTAACTAAGCTTTTGATACTGTGATTACGTCGAACAAATTTAGTTACAAGAAAAAACAAATTGCTTTTATATAACAATGCAATTACATTTTTTAACTTGAACTACCTTTAAAGATATATATTTTATAGTTTTTGTTTAAACTATAGTCACTATAGACATGTGTGCAATTTTTTATGAAAACATGTAAGCATCTTGATATTTAAATACATTAATTAATGAGTACAGTTGACAACATTATTAGATGTCATTTACCTATTAATTAAATCATAATAGGATCTGAATGAGCCAGCGGTTCCATTATCACTCGTTAATAAATCCTGCGGCCTTATTACTCGATTGGTTCAATATAATCTTCTATTACGTATCTTTAATTTAATAATAACATAGTAATAATTACTATTAGATTAAGTCAGTGGTGGCCTAGTGGTTGGAGGGCCCGCCTCTCGTTGCCGAGGGCGCGAGTTCGATCTTGGCCCGGGCAAGTACTAATGTGACTTTTCCGAGTCATATGTACTTTCTAAGAATATTTAGACATCACTGATTAATGCTGATTCCCAAAAAAGAGGGTTGATGTCAGGCAGGCGGCCGGTCGTAAAAATTAGCCAAAACTATTCACAACATGTAAGGCAGACCCTGGCTATGGCCGGGAAATTGCCAGGTAGAAGAAGAATTACTATTAGATGTATAAATATTCCAAGTCATAATTATATGTCCAGTTGTGGATACAAACAAACAGACAAACATTCATTATGTTAACTGAAACTAGTTTTAACTGTGGGAACTTTTAATTGGATCCAAATATATGAAAAGTTTTATTTGTGTTAAACAACCTTTATATTGAAGTTAGTCAGGAGCGAGTCAGCGATTTTTGTAACAAACAAACGAACAGACGTGAGTTTAACATTTAATATTTGTAATTGTGAAAATTTCGTTAAAATATATTTGTGACTGTGAAAAAACTGGACAGATCTTAATGCATCTAAATAATACTTTACATTTATCAAAATTTTCTATAGATTTTGACTATTTCAATAAATTGGGGGATAATTGGAATTTTTTTCAAAGACCCTTAATTTCCAACGACCGGAGGAAAAGAAAATTTCAACATTTTGTTGTTACAAATAAACCATTTTAAATGACAAAGAAGATTGTAAGACAGGAATTTATAAAGTAAGGATGTTTCTAAAACAGAAATGAATTCATATAAACACAAAGTTTCATTATAGAAACTAAATTTCAAGAATTAAACTAAGTTACCTAAAGTTATATTTATAGAGAAAATTAGTTCAAATCTTTCTCTATATTCAAACTTGCCTCAAAGTTATACAAAGTTTTGAATTTCAAAGTCATTATTATAAGCCCAATGAGCTACTTTTACGTAGATATGTTACGATATACTACGGAGCTCCTACGAGATAAAGTTGTATATATATGATGAAAAATTCACGTACGCTTATATTTTTCTTAACATGAGAATAGTGATAACAATATGTTATGTCTCATCTCAATTTAAATAGGAAAAACAAAGTCACTTATTTAAGTTAATTATAGAAAATACAAATTGATTTTTTTTGTCAATTATTATGTCCTTTTTTTGCTCTAGAAACTAATGCAAATATCAACAGTTCTTGCTTAACCTTCCACGATAAAATGTATGTCAGTGAATAATGAAGTTTTTACATTAAAATTATATAATTTTACAGAAATAAAAAAAAAGATAGTTCCATTTAAAAGTTCTAAGCTTTATTCATAGCAATTGTAAAAATCCATTTAAATTATAGAAGCACGATTACAAAGTAAGCGCCTCAGCAATTAAAACAGCGATATAAAAACGTGTACATTTATTTTTTGCATTCAACGAACTGCTATAAATCATAATAATGTACATTTAGCACTGAACTTATTTCTTTATTGCACGTTCCATGTTGTTTGAGTCTTGTTATTATACTTAATAAATTTGTGTAAAACGTAAAGAGGATATTATATTTTGTATTGCGTGATATTTCCTTATTTTTCATATTATTTATGCTTATAAGAAGGATTAGAAGGATTTTATCGTATATCAAATGCACTCTAATAAAAAAAAAATCTTTTTTTTTTATAGTTGTAGCCACAGCCACAGTTATAGCCATAGCCATAACCATAGCCATAGCCACAGCTCTACATTTTAAATGATAACAACACACGTAATAGACACGCCATTTGGATCTCATTCCACATTCTATTAGTTTACAGCGGGTATCTGGTTATCGCGACTCGAGTACATTAGCACTTAATACAACGCAATAAAGTCCGTTTTCAAATGAACCACAACTATTTATTGTGGAACCGTGTGACATTTACAAATGCCGGCACATATTCAACGGTTGTATATAATAATTATTCATGGCATTAACCGCTTTACTGTACGTGGAATACCGGCGGTATTTCTTTGTTACATTTTTGATTGGTCTATCGGATTCTTTGTTATTTATGAGTGGCCTGAGAAGTTTTGTTCCGTCTATTTTTAGATTTATAATTTATGAATGTTTTAAGGATTGCGGCGTCTTATTCTGATATTACTCATGAATCAGACGCCACGTTTTATGAAATTAATTATTTCACGAAAATGAAGGACAAAGAAATCCTTAATTTAAAATTATTTATACTAGCTAAGTTCACGACTTTGTTCATGAATTATAGTTCTTTAAATACATGTTAATTTAAATAAATCCTCATAAAAGAAACAAATCGTCTAAAATACTTATTATTACATCCACAATCGATCAGTGAAAGTCTTATCAAAATGGAATCAGTCTTTTCATAGATCAATCAGAACAAACAAACTGAGACACAAAAATTGAGATTTTTTTATCCAATATAGTAAAAAGGTTATTTTAGTTACGAACAGAACGCCAAAATTTATTCATATAGATAATACGAAAGTAATTTAAAAATGGACTTATCTCACAATTTAAAATTAGCTGATTAAATATTTAAATTCCACCAGCTATATATGTTATGACAAGTGGTTTAAAACCGCATCCACGTTACAAATGTTATGTGTAACTGACATGACTTGTCACCACTGGCAACGCTAAGGTAAGATAATATATAACTATGAGCTTTTTTAAAATTAATTTTTAATATACAATATAATACCGAGTCTATTTCTATACAATATAATATTTCAATATTAAAAACTTGGTTACTTTTTGTAGTTTCACGTCAAAAGCTAGTTTTGTTTTGGACTGAATTTTAATTTGAAATTCAGTTTCTTTTGAATTCAGTATAATGGAAACCTGAAATAATATGTGACAAGGATTTATTATAAAAGAAATTCTATATGGATGACATAATTATTTTTAGGAGAATTAAAAATTTATTTATTATTATGAGTGTCGTATAACGAATAAAATATTTATAATATTAGTTGCTTATGCTGTTCTTCACCTTAATATTATTGTACTTTTAAGTTGAATATATCTCTATTTTTCTATTTGTATTATTCCTGTGTTTTATTATGAGTAATCTATCAATCATATCATTGACATATCAAAAAGATATCATTATATTTCCACCACAAGTCATTAACCTGTCCATAATCTCTCCCTCTGGTCTGGTCTAGTCTGGTCTTAAATATAATATCTTCTTGATATGTAAACAATATAGATAGATTAGTCATTATAAAACACACAAATAGTGCAAATAGTTTTTAGCAAATATTTCCAAAGAGGGTTGATGTCAGGCAGGATGCCGGTCGTAAAAACAAATAGCCAAAAATATTCACAACATGTAAGGCAGACCCTGGCTATAGCAGGGAAATTAGATGTAGAAGAAGAAGAAGTGCAAATAGTGATATTACTACAAGTCACTAACCTGTCCATCATCTCTCCCTCTGGTCTGTCTATAGCAGCATCCTTGGAGCCAGAGTAAACATACACCCTGACGTCAGACTTGTACCATTTGATGCTGTGCATCTCTCCACATGATCTAGCGTCGATGCGACATCTCAACCTCGCCGTGTTACCCACAAGGGCTGAAGCGTGATCTGAAAATAACATTGAAGATATTATAACCAATTTAAATAATTATTTATATAGAAATAAGAGCTAGATTTCTGTGAAATTAATACACATATATAGGTGTAAACAAACACACACACACAAAGTGTATATACATATCGGCGCTACCAGCTTAAATAACGGATGCGACATGAAAATAACTTGAACCTGTCATCAATTATTATTAAAACTTATTAGTATTCATGATTATTGTTAAAAGTAAAACGAAATCAAAGATTGTTTAAAAGGAGAATAGAACTATGTTTGAATCTTGGTATAAATATGACGTCTGGGCGAAGGACGGCACAGTTCAGTAAGTACGGACCTTATAAGAATGTGATTATGAAGAACCTTCGAGAAATACAGGAACATTAAGAACAATTGAAGGTTCATTTTAAAATATCATGGAACGTTCTGAAAGAAGTGACATTAGTGAGGATGGCGTCTCTCTCTCTCTTTAAAAACAATGAATTTGTAATACATCCGATATATACATATATGTGTGCATGTAATTATTTATCTTATTGGTTCAGGTTTGAATATAAATTGTATTCGGTATTAATATAAGAGTTATTCTGATAGCCAACAACGAAGCCGAGCCAATTACAGCTGTACCCAATTAAAAGCAGCTCTTCCAGATCTTAGTTTCTATTTGACTTGAAGACTCAATACAGAATTAATATAAAGCAATTTTGAACCAGAATTCTTATTAAAGTAACAATAAATATTTCCTTCCTTACTTTAAGGCATTGAAACAAGAATTAATGATTATTTTAAATTTATAATTACCAATCGATCATATATTGTAACGATATGTTAGACATATAATTAATTTGATATTCTTTTTTTTCTTTTTATACATCACATATCACTATATTGTCTTATTTAGGAAACACGATTGTTTACAACTCTTAAAAAGGTTTCGAATAAACAACAATGTGATTAGTTTCTCTCTAGAACTTTGAATATAGAGGTGATTAAATGTATATTGTAGGTTTTATTCTTTTGCAAAGTATAAATTACAAGAAAATAAACTTAGATTAATAGCGGCTGAACAAAAAAAAAATCTTTTATACAAAGATTTTGGAAATGAACCATTCAAGATATTAAAAGCTAAAAGAATATTAATAAATAATTATTTCACTTTCATCGTAATATTTCATCACGAGAATTTCACGAAAAAAACTTAAAGAAACCAAGCTTCTGTTAGACAAATATTTGAACAAACCTCGCCCTTAGGTCATAACAAAAAAATATTACCTCTCAAAATATACGATAAAAAAGATATTTAATAACTATAAAAACCCACAAAGTAAAGACAAACAGAAATAAATCCGTGGGATCTAAATAAAACGTCGAAATCTATTGAATAACAACATCATTTAAATCGTTCCAACATTGACATGATAGGAATAATCCCGGATTCGAAACCATTTCGGGATTCTAGCGATCCCAGTACCCCGAGTGTCCCATTCAATTAAATAGTGGACCGGAGTTATTTAAAACGTCACTATTTGTCCTGTTAACTGTGAAAATGGATTGTATTGTGACTCAAGCTATTAAAATATTTTTATTCGCTTCCGAAATCAACTTGATATTGACGTAAATGAAAAAAAATAAGTATGTTAAAAATTATTATAAAATAATATCAATTTATTACATTTATTTAGTGTCATTATATTTTTAATAAACAAATGATTTGATTTTTAGACATATCTCAATAATCATAACTTATTTATAAGTTGTTGAATTGCAAATCAAATCAGTGATATTGTACATATTATGCATTACTTTAATAGGTTATATATTTTTATATTACTACTTTTGGTCGACAATTTAGTCTTTGCAGATTTCAGTATTGTGTGCAGTGAAAAATGTATATAGTTTGTTCAAACAATATATATAGTGAACTGGCAGTGACATCTATAATTTGTTTTACTCGATTTTTTGCTTAAATCCTGCGGGCTTTATACAGAATTGTGAAATAAATCTTTTTATATGTTCTGATTTGTAAGTTGCACATCCATACATACAGAAATACAAGCCCAAGACCAATAGCATAATAGTAGTAGGCTAAAATAGCTAAGTATTCGCATTGTAGAGAACGTGTTATAATAATATTTAATTCTCCATCAACATAAAACAATTGTTAAAATATAATTAATTGACAGTACGCAACTCTTGATAACATTAACTTGTAAGGAATAGATCATAATCTTTTGCCATCTATATAAAAAATTAAAAACAAATCCTAAAAAGTCTTAGCACTGTAAGTGTGTCTATTATAAAATAAGTGTTAAGTGTGATTGTAAGAATTTTTCATCAACCATTTAGAATTGCCTTAAAGTACATGACGTTGGCGAAATGTAGAAGGAAATATCACTAACTAAAGAAGAATAATTTCCTTAAAACATTGTAAATTACAAGAAAAAAATACGAGTAGACACATATGCTAGTTAACTAAGGCCTAATATATAATGAAGTATAGAAAATTTTGTAATCGTTCATAACCCAAGGTTACGTATGGAAATTCTGTCCTCACTAAAGGACCGAGCCCTTGATTACAAATTAATGCTATCTGACAGTTAGCTCGCTTTCGTGAAATTTCAATAAACCCAACCGTGTTGAGAACCTGCATGAGGTTGACTTATAATTGTACATTGTATAACCGTCATCAACCTATCAGTCAGGTACCTTGAAAGGGAACGTCAAATGACGACTATTAATACTAAGTGTTTGATACATTATGTTTATTGTACTCGAGAAATACTACTATTTGAGACTTGTTGCAGTGTATAGAATAATTCGACTGATTATATGAGTTTTCAACAGAAAATAAGAAAGAAAAAATGAACATAATTGTTGGGTTTGATAAATAAGATTAAGTGAAATAATAATCCTCATAATTTTTCTCTCGTTCTTCATAATATCTTTTATATTATTTTATTACCAGGTCCTTATACGTTATGGTTACGTCCTTTTGTCACTGGAATAATTTGCTCACAGTAAAATACAAATTATTGAAATTGACAATAATTCCATCGCTAACAACACATCGGGAATTAAAAACGTATTTTTTTCCTATATATAAGGTATTTTTAACGAATGGAACCGCAGAAAAATACTGTATAAGTTCAGAAAAATCAGCTTATATACCCCGTCTATATTACACCGAAGTGTAATTCTATTGCATTGAATCAACAAGAAAATTCACCAGTTCCACAATTGCGACCATTTTTCTTAAAATAAAATCACGTAAACCGCGTTTTTCCGAGGTAAATGTTATAAGCGTGTTTCTGAAATCGAAACTATATTTTCACCATTTATGTTTGATTAAAATAAATGCTGTCACAGACATTATGTTTCTCTTTCTAAACTATGTACTAATAATTTCTCTGTATAATTCTACAATATTATAGAAAACATAATAATATATTAAAAGGTCGTGGTGGCCTAGATGTTAAAAATCCGCCCACTCTCGTGGATGACAATGCAGGTTCAAAACCTAGCAAGTACCAATGTGATTTTTTCGAGTCATATACACTTTCTAAGAGTATTTAGACATCACTGATAGACGGCGAAGGAAAACATCGTGAGGAAACCTGGACTTGTAATTTCAAATTATAAGTTTGAAATCACCAACCCGTTTTAGGCAAGCGTGGTGATTAAGGTTCAAATATTCTTCATCTGAATATATTACAAATGCATTGAGATATAAATCGCTTATAACTTGTATCTTGTACCACACACTACGCTCTTGTGGGTGACGTGTGACAAGTGGTATTAGGATTATACAACTAATAGCCGTTTAGCCGCATACCATCCGCGGCTACACAGAATTAATATCACTAAATGTGTCATATTTTAATCTAAGACGTTATTTTATTAAAATTCTGATAACAAGATTAAGTAGAATAAAAATTGATTGTCATAATACCCCTCCATTTTTATTTAAATCTACGAAGTTTTTTTATATATACATATATATTCATATTTAATTTAATTCTCATACAAGAATCTCTCGTTGCTTGCGGCTCAGTGATCATTTATTTGGGTTTAATCTTTTGTGAATTACTGGCTTTGTTCTGCTTTCAAGTTAATTTGATGAAAATAATTAAATTATGATATTAACTTACACAAAAAAAACCTTTTTTTTATAAAACGTAAGTTAACTAATAATAAAAAGGTAAAAAATAAAATAATTGATAGCTTTTTCTCAATATGATAGAACTCATATTGTAAATTGGACTATATGTAGCACAGTAATAATTAATTTAATTATAAGTCATAATATACTATTAAATAGTTAGTAATAAGCTGTAAGAATATATCAACCTCATACTCGTCCTTCGATAATAATAAAACGATAAAAAATATTTTAACATAAGTCAAGTATTTAACTTCGATACAGCTTTATATTTGAAGAATATTACGCATATTTGTATGAGAACGTGGTGTTTAAGACAAGCTGAGGTTTAGCGGATTAGATTATGAAACAGAGAATTTCGTTACACATTCTAGAACCTCTGTGATGTGAAATTGTTTTCAAAACGAAAATATACAAAACAAACAGTAAAATAATTGACACAGGCTAATTGTTTTAGAAAACTTTACATAAAACAAAAATACAGAACTATTAACATATGTAAGCCTACATAGTTTTATATTACACGATTTAGACAAATTTATTACTTGAGTATATACAGGGTGACTGGTGAATTACTACCGATACTTGAGGACGTGATATTTGACGATCATATATGACAAAATAAAAGTTAATATAACATAAATATTAATAAACTTCTAAGTAAAGTTAACCAAAAGATATGTAATTAATTACGCATCGTGTGAACACCCTACAGATTAGGTATACACACACACACACGCGCGTGCGGCGGCGTGGTGTTGTATCAGCACGCCGCCGCACGCGTCCACACTTAGAACACTTCGAACGTGTTCACACTTTATTTATTTATACGGAAATTTGGTCAAAAATTAAG